CAAGGATATATAATCTCTAGAAAATGTCCTTAAATTCAAATTTGAAGAAACAGAGGTTAGGGTCTGAGTGCTTCCTCTCCCAGAGGGCTGTGGGATTCTTTTTTTTTTTTTTTTAAAGATTTTATTTATTTTTTGACAGAGAGAGATCACAAGTAGGGAGAGAGGCAGGCAGAGAGAGAGGAAGGGAAGCAGTCTCCCCGCTGAGCAGAGAGCCTGATGTGGGACTCGATCCCAGGACCCTGAGATCATGACCTGAGCCGAAGGCAGAGGCTTAACCCACTGAGCCACCCAGGCGCCCCAGGGCTGTGGGATTCTATTGCAAATTTCTTCCTAGTGTCCAGCATTGCATACAATAAGATTTAATTTGCCTATCTGACTTGCATATAAACAACTCAGAGTGCCATCCATGAGACCTTTTATAGGACAAAGATTAGACTCCCCAGATTAAGAAAAAAATTATTTATGATTATTATAATTTCCTGGATAACTGCCTTTCTTTTAGTAAGACTGAAAACTCTGTCTTATTCCTTCTTATTTCCCCAGAAAATTAAGCCAGTGACTGGCACAACCATGGGCATTAAATAAATGACACAATATGATTCCTGGTCCTAGAAGTAATTTAAGACTGCCTCTTAAATACATTTACCTGTATATTATTTATTAACTTTTAAAACTACTTTTATTAATGAATAATTTTATATAATAAAAAGTTCCCATTTTAAAAGTATAGTTTGGGGGCGCCTGGGTGGTTCAGTGGGTTAAAGCCTCTGCCTTCGGCTCAGGTCATGATCCCAGGGTCCTGGGATCAAGCCCCACATCAGCAGAGAGCCTGCTTCCCTTCCTCTCTCTCTGCCTGCCTCTCTGCTTAATTATGATCTCTGTCTGTCAAATAAATAAATAAAATCTTTAAAAAAAAAAAAAGTATAGTTTGATGAGCTAAATGTATACACACATGCAACCATCAACACAATCAAGACATTTGTATATGGGGAACAATGCTAGAAATTACATCAATAAGAAAAGCCTAAAACTCTTCAGCATAAAGAATTGGTTCCCTTATTTTCATTTTTTTCTCTTACCAGATTGATGTTTTAAATTCTAGGCAGTACTGTATGTAGTAAACCCTAAAGATTCCACCAAAACCTATCAGAAATGATAAATGAATTCAGTAAAGTCATAAGATATAAAATCAACGTACAGAAATCTGCTGCATTCCTACACAATAATAATGAAGCAGCAGCAAGTGAAATTAAGAGGGGTGGGTGCATGGATGGCTCAGTCAGTTATGCATCTAACTCCTCCTCTTCTTTTTTTTTTTTTTAAAGATTTTATTTATTTATTTCAGAGAGTGAGTAAGAGAGAACATGAGTGGGGGAGGAGCAAACTCCCCACTAAGCACAGAGCCCAGTGTGGGGCTTGATGTGGGGCTTGATGCAGTGCTCAATCTCTACTTCGGGATCAGGACCTGAGCCAAAGGCCGATGCTTAACTGACCAAACCAGTCACCCCCACATCTAACTCTTGATCTCAGCTCAGGTCTTGATCTCGGAGTTGTGAGTTCAAGCCTTATGTTGGGCTCCATGCTGGCATAGAGCCTACTTGAAAAAAAAAAAAAAAAAGTGAAATTAAGAAAACAATACCACTTACAATTGCTCTGAAAACAGTAAAATATCTAGGAATAAACTTAATGAAAGGGGTAAAAAACCTATACTCTGAAAACTATAAAACATTGATGACAATACAAAGAATGGAAGAACATTCTATGCTCACGGATTGGAAGAACAAATATTGTTAAAATGTCTATATTACCCAAAGCAATCTACAAATTTAATGCAATCCTTATCAAAATACCAACAACATTTTTTACAGAACTAGAGCAAACAATCCTAAAATTTGTATGGAACCACAAAAGACCTTGAAGAGCCAAAGCAATGTTGAGAAAGAAAAACAAGGCTGGAGGTACCACAATTCCAGATTTCAAGTTATATTACAAAGCAGTAGTAATTAAAACAGTATGGTACTAGCACAAAAATAAATACATAGATCAGCAGAATAGAATAGAGAGCCCAGAAATAAATCCATAATCACGTGATCAGTTACTCTTCAACAAAGTGGGAATGAATATACAATGGGAAAAAAAAAAGTCTCTTCAACAAATGGTCTTGGGAAAACTGGTCACCCAGTTGCAAAAGGATGAAACTGGACCACTTTCACCATTCACAAAAATAAATATGGATTAAAGACCTAAATGTGAGACTGGTGACCATAAAAATCCTTGAAGAGAACACAGGCAGTAATCTCTCCGACATCACCTGCAGCGACATTTTTCTAGACATGTCTCCTAAGGCAAGGGAAACAAAAGCAAAAATAAACTATTAGGACTTCATCAAAATAGAAACCTTCTGGACAGCAAAGGAAACAATCAATAACACTAAAAGGCAACTTTTGGAATGGGATATTTGCAAATGAGATATCCAGTAAAGGGCTGGTATCCAAAATATGTAAAGAACTGATACAACTCAACACCCAAAAAATAATCCAATTAAAAAATGGGCAGAAGACATGAACAGACATTTCTCCAAAGAAGACATACAGATGGCCAACAGAACATAAAGAGAAGTTCATCACTTACCATCAGGGAAATGCAAATCAAAACTACAAGGAGGTATCACCCCACACCTGTCAGGGTGGCTAAAATAAAAAATAAAAAAAAAAGAAACAACAAGTGTTGGTTAAGGATGTGGAGAAAAAGAAAGATTCTAGCACTGTTAGTAGAAATGCAAACTGGTGTAGCCACTGTGAAAAACAATAGGAGATTCCTCAAGAAGTTAAAAATATAACTACCCTATGATCCAGGAATTGTGCTACTGGGTATTTACCCCCAAAATACAAAAGCATTACTTCAAAGGGATACATGTACTCCTATGTTTACTGCAGCATTATTTACAATACCCAAACTATGAAAGCAGCAGTCCATTGATAGATGAATGGATAAAGAAGATACACACATATACGTATATATGTATGTATGTACGTATGTGCACATATACATATATGCACGTATATATACATGTATGTATGTATGTATATATACATGTACATATGTATATATACACATATACATATATACATACCATGGAATATTATTCAGTCATAAAGAAAGAAGAAATCTTGCAGTGGATAGAGCTAGACAGTATAATGTTATGTGAAATAAGCCAGAGAAAGACAAACACCAGAGGATTTCAATCATCTGTGGAATTTAACAAACAAAACAAACAAGTGGGGAGAGTAAAATCAAGGAACAGACTGTTATCTATAGAGAACAAACTGATGGTTACCAGAGGGGAGATGGGTGGGGGTGGGGATGGGAGAATTAGGGGATGAGGATTAAAGAGTACACTTATCAGGATGGAAAAAAAATAAAATGAAATGAAAAAAAATTCTCTTAATCAAAACAAAAACACACCAAGAGGCAGGCCTAACAATAGCATCTTCTGAGAGCCCCAAAGCTGGAGAATTTCAAAGCAGATGAGCTGTGTTATGGTCAGTGGGTTTAAAAAAAAAAAAAGATGGAAAAAAAAGACAAATTCTAAGTAGATCCTTGGCAACAAAGGAAGTCAAGAATTCTGGCCCTGATTTCACACAGTTAACAGAAGTTTGCCCATTACTTAATGTGCATGTGGCACTGTGGTTGCTATAGAGATCTATGAGTGAGACAGTACTTGTTTTCCAAGAGGTCACAATCTCCTTGGGATTAAGGTGATACAAAAATAATCATAAACCAAGTGTATGTGTCACAGAGAGATACATGGGGAATACTAATTGAGGTTTCAATTTTTTAAGAGACCAGCCATATCTTTAAAACATATTTGGTGTTTACTAAAATAATCTAGTGTGGTAATCTCTGGAAGTCAAAGAAGATTAGAATGAAGGAATCAGAACTTTCTTATTTTTGTTGTTTTTTAAAGTAGTTAGAAAACTTGTGAAGACAAGTCTATGACTTGCTTATATTCCAGACTCAGTCTCTTAGTCACGAACCACAGTTTTCCACTAACAGTGGCATAAAATGCGTTTCTGGAATGTGAGAATGATGGAAGAGTAAGTAGCTAAGGTCCAAAGTTGAGGTGGCCTTCCTTCCCTGAGAATGTAGAAATCACACCAGGACAAACAAAAAAGAGAGTGGAGTGGGTTTGGCAATGGACTTTAGGGATTGTCCAGAATTAGAAAGTTAAGATGATAATTCTGGGCTCAAAAACAAAGTGGTACTCAGATCCATCCTCACTGATTGGGAAGAAAGGAGTCCTCCTCCTAGAGTTGAAATGAAGTGTCCTTCTCCTTGCTAACCCCATGGGAAACTGTCCTGCACACAGATGGAACTGGAAGTCTATGTAGACATGTACACCCAGTATAAACTAGACCAAAAATTCCCTTGGTCACTGATTATGCTCAGCTTTCAGTCTTCTGCAGAAAAGTGGATTGGATGACCCCAGCTTTTAGCTGTGGCAACTTGGGGGCGGGAGAGCCCCGTTGTGTCTGGCAGAGGTCACAGGCAGGATCTTGAAGGGAAAGGTGTGAGGACTGGGGGCAGCTAGGAGGGGAGTCAGAGTAGGACCCAAAAGACAATCCATCGACGTGACTGACTTTGATCTGGTCGACAGCCCTTTGTAAAGGAGCCAGTTGGTTTTCTGGAGATAGGGAGAAGAGGTGTTCTGGGTTCTGGTCCTAGTCTGTGGGAATGAATCAGGGGCAACGGAATAAATGGTCGCTTATTATCCAGTAGTGAGCCTCCTGAGTCCTCCCCAGCTACTCCTTCTTGGGCTACCATCTCTCTTTGCAAGACCCTGGGTGTTGGTGCTGAAACGCAGGATCTGGTTGGAGGATGCTCACCTGCCCCCAGCCAATCTGCCCCACCTCCCCTCTCTCCTCCCTCCTCACTAGCCCAAAATAGTTGCCAGGGACCAGTCAACATCTGGCCAGGTTAGAACAGGCGCAGGAACTCACCTTTGCGACCTCGTTTTTGCATTTGGACTCCTGACGGGGTGCATCCACGCCAATGAGAATCTTACAGATTCTAACTCCTATGCTTTTGTTGGTATGGGGAGAGGGACTTCCTCTGACTCAGTGTATAAACAATGATTCCTGAAGAGGTGCGCCCAGGTTACACAGCCTGCAGGCGGTGCCCGCGGACCAGAGGGCACGGTCGGGGCCCCGACGCGGTGCGGGGCTGAGGGCAGCCGGCTCACTTCTGAAGCCGCTGGTGGCCAGGGCACCTCAAAACCACACCGAATCTCGTAGCTTCGGGCGCCCAGGACGCGCAAGGTACGCTTCGGGGGGCGGTCCTGCCTGACCCCGGAAGAGAAAGTTGTTTTGGGGAAGGGGAGCGAGGAGCCGAGAGCGAGTTAAGTAACTAAAAATCAAAGTTGTTCTGCTCCCCTCACGCCATCTCTCCTCTGCTTCATCTTTATCTCAAGCTCCACTGGGGTCAGACTTCCTCGGAGGGCCGGGCGCTCGTCGAGTCCCAGCCTGAGTAGGGGGACACCGTGCACCCGGCCCACAGGTTTCGACCCTCTCTGGCTCCGGGTCTCCAGGAAAACCCGGAGCGGAGCATCCCCCGGGCCGGGAAACGCCCTCGCGCGCGCCCACTGGCGCGCATGCTCAGTCGCGCAGCAGCCGCGAGTAGGAAGCTCCGCGAGGCAGTAGCGGCAGCGGCGGCGCGACTGGAGGGTGGGAGGAGACGCACCCGCTGGCGGGCGGGGGCGCTGGGACGCGGCTGGGGCTCCCGCCCGAGGTTCCTGGGAGTGTTTGGGACCGCGAACCCCGGCGCGAGGAGCTAGCGAGCACGGGAGCCAACGAGTGCGGAGTGGACAGCGGGCGGAGCGGAGCCGCGGGACGGAGCGGGCTCAGAGCCCGAGTCTCCGCGACTCGGCTCGGGACCCGGCGGCGGGGGCGGCGATGTTCCACTGCATCCCCCTGTGGCGGTGCAACCGTCATGTGGAGACCATCGACAGGCGCCACTGCTCGCTGGTCTATGTCCCCGAGGAGATCTACCGCTACGCCCGCAGCCTGGAGGAGCTGCTGCTGGACGCCAACCAGCTCCGCGAGCTGCCAGAGGTGAGTGTCCGGCCTCACCTGCGCGCAGTCTTCGGGAGAACACCGACGAGCCTGGCCAGCCCTCTCCCCCTCTTCCCCTCTCCTCCCCACTCTACCCTCCTCCCATCTCCAGATCCGGGCCGCAGGTCCCACAGAACCACCACTACCTGTATTCACCTGCTTCTTCCTCCCTTACTCCTCCCCACCCCCACCGTCTGCATTAAAAGTTCCTTGTCGTTTTGTACAAGTGAGCGACTTGCTGTTTTCCCAGTAGTCACTGGAGCTTGTGCGACTAGGGAAACGTTCTGGTCTGGTAAGTAGTTTAGATACACGTCTAAGTACTAACAGCTGGTCCCGATACCCGGGCAGGTGAGGAGCCAGGTGGCTCGGGCTGTTCCCGGGTGAAAGGACAGAGCATGGCATCCGCTCCCTGGGCAATTTTCCCTGCGCTGCATTCCCCGATCACTGGATCACTGGCCAGGGCGCGCTTACCCGTTGGCTCCGACAGGTCCGGTGGAGGTGGGCAGACCTCAGGAGAGTCGCAGTATCTCGGCATCTTCCGAGGAATGTGCCCTGGGCCTTATCGCTGGTGGGCAGTGCTTGAAAGTGCTGTAGTTTGGCTGGCCGGTCTTGGCTCCGGGACCGGTCGAGAATTGGGGGTGGGTAGGAGGAGATCGGGTAGGAGGAGAGCTATGCCTTGGGAGCTGTGGGCAGGTGCCCGCTGTTGGGCCCCTGCCTGCGTGGACCTGTTGCGTGGAAGGAGCCGCTGTGAATGTCAGCAGAGGCCGTGCCTGACGGGCCAGTCTTGCAGCCACCTCTCCCTAAGCGGGTACCTTCAGCCTGCTGACTTCTGTCCTTGCAGTGATGCGTTACCTCTTCGGAGTTGTTTGCGTAATCAGTGGTCTGAGGCCGAACTTGTTAAGGGACAGATGCTGATTGAGCTTTAATGGAGGGTCTGCGACTGCGAACTTTTAACCTTCGAACTTGCGCCGGGAATTTAACTTGAGTAAAGCGCGAAGAGGAAGGTATCGCAAATCCAAGGGTGTGCAGGAAGTCGGCGTGCAGTAATCCAAAGGTGTGCAGGAAGTAGGGAGACTAGACTGCTGGGAGTCGGGGGGAGGACCCGAGGCCTGGAGTTGGAACACAGATATCTTTCTTGTCCTTTAGTGATTATGAGGCCGAGGCACTGTCACAGAAACACTCGCTAGTCAAATGATCTGGCTTGTTAAAATGACCTGATACCTTCTTCAGCCCTGCCGGAGTGTTTTAAAAAGAACAGTGTGCTTTTTCTTAATATTTCAAGTATTATTCTTGGATTAACTTTTCCTTGGTTCATGTGGAATTGGATGGTTTGCTCTGTGTAATCACGCAGATTATCCTCACTGGGATCTTTGCAAAGCCCCCCCCCCCCCCCGCTTTATTTAGCTTAGAAGCAGAAAAGCCATCCAATTCCCTCAGGCATTTATTATTTTGCAGGCATTTCCAAAAACATGGCTTTGTCTGGCCTTTAACTTCCTTAAATTTGACTTGAAAGTCGTAAGTTCACTTGCTGCCTTAAGTTGTAAATAAGTTTTAGGCATTGCTATTGCCAGAAATACAGACTATATTATTTAATACTTTTCAAGTGTGTCAGAATGAAGTTATTAAAAGATTGAGTGAAAAGCTATTTAACTAGAAATGTTTTGGTGTTCCTTGTGGTATTTTTGTTTGTTTGTTTTTTTTAGTAGAATTGGAAGATTTCCTTTGACTGGATTGGCTTTTCACTCTCTTCTGCAAAGTTTGTGGGTTTTCCTGTAATGTTGGGGAATTCAGCTTCGTAAGGGGAAATTATGGGTTTTGAAAGTGTTAGGTATCCTTACTGGTCCTAACTGGAAACTTCTCAGAAGCTCAAAATAGTCTGATAGCACTCTATAGATACAGCAAATAAACATGCTTTTCAGAGACTAAAGGTGGTCTTGCTTATGGGTAATTATTGCTCTTAGAGCTCTGAAATTAGTTTTATGGTTTCTAGGTTCTTGAAAACCTGTTACTTCATGACTTATTGTGTCTGGGTGCCTGGATTTGTACAAACCAGACTGGAACAACCACCTTGAAAGCTCAGATATTTCATTCAAAGGTACAAGTCTTTCCTTGGGCTGTTATTTCACCTCTGAGATCTGTAGTGCTCATTAGCACTGCTTGCTGCTGTCCCTGCCCTCTCCTCCAACCCCTTTCTCTTTACCTGCCCCATCACTAGGGGCCTCTTTTTGCTGACAGACCCCCAAGGTCCTTGTGGTGGTCATGCTGGCTATCTGTTCTCTTCTCTGTAATTTATTTGGAAGCACAGACAAGGGGGAAGACTGCACCCCCTATCCCAGCAGCAAAGATACACACACTATCCGGGCTTCAGAATGATGAAAAGGTTTGTAACCTCTGACTTGATCCAACTTCCTTGTTTTGCAAATTGAAACTCAGACCTGAAGTGACTTTTTCAAGGCTGTCCAGCTGGATAGTTGTCGTTCCCCTCTCTGCCCCACCACCCCCCGCCCCGTTTTGCACCTTTGGACACCTAAGAGGAACCTGGCATATTCAGTTTCTCAAATCCATTAAAACCTCAGTTATTTGACTCCTCCTGTTTTACTCACATCATTAAGCCTGGCCTCTGCCAAACAGTTATTGACCTTTCATCATTTGTCGTTGGTGGGGATAAAGAGATTAAAGAAGGTATGATTCTTAGGAGCTAGTCACAGCTTTGTGGGGAGACAGATGTGGTGAGTGTGGAGTGGAGGGGGCATCGCAGTTCGCTTGATGGTTACTTTCCTAACCTAACCTTTTGCTGAATCTGCATCCCCATCCTCAACAGGCTGTCTACCTTGTGATAGCCTCTCAGTGCTGCTTTTCCGCAGGGAGGGCTTAGGAGATTAGCCTGACCCCAGATGGGTGATAGTCTCACCATCCCGTTCCCATCCACCATCTCCTTCCCACTTCCTCCCAGCTAGATCTCTGTGGCATGTGTGTTAACAGAGACAGTCTCTAAACTCCTTGAGATGCTGGTGTGTTTTTGCTTATTCTTAGGAGTGAGCACAGAGCCTGGCACCCAGTATGTCCTGCTCAGTAAACAGCTTTTATCTGTTGAATGAATTTAGCCAAGTCGGATACAAATATTCCTCCTTTGGTTCTTTCTCTTCCCTTGAGCATATCACTGCTCTGACATCTATCCTTTTCTAATATAGTCTGAGAACATTCAAGTTGGGAGTGATTTTTTTTCAGGACTGTCTAGCTGGTTAGACACACAGTCTCTGGCTGCTTCAAGCTGGAAAGCACTTCAGAAGTTAAAGGTCATTGATATGGCGGAGCTGTTTTGTCTTCTACAAGATCCTCCGCCCCACTGTGTACCTCCTCAGTGTTTCTGACACCATCAGTTTTCCCTTCAAGGTACATGGGTTGTTGAATACCTTGGCATATGTGTGTTTTACTGTGCTCTCTCTGGCTCCAATACAGAGCCTCGTCTAATGGGCAGCAAATATTTTGAATGAATGCTGTTGAGCCCAGGAAGCTTATAAAACTGAGCTTCATCTTGTTACCTGCTTTTTTTTTTTTTTTTTTTTGAAGATTTTATTTATTTATTTGACAGAGATCACAAGTAGGCACAGAGACAGGCAGAGAGAGAGGGGGAAGCAGGCTCCCTGCTGAGCAGAGAGCCCGATGTGGGTGGGGCTCGATCCCAGGACCCTGAGTTCATGACCTGAGCCAAAGGCAGAGGCTTAACCCACTGAGCCAGCCAGGCGCCCCTGTTACCTGCTCTTAATTAGAGTTCAGTTGGCCTTTTGATGATGGCCAGATGACATTATCTCAAATATCTACTCCCTCCCATTATTCTTTCTCATATCCTGCTTAATTTTTTCCCCAGCCCTTAGAGCACTATTACTACCTAACTCTAGACTATATGCTTGCTTACTTGTTCTTTGTCTCCCCAACTAGAACGTCAGCTCCATGAGGACAGGGATGTTTCTGTTCATGGCTGAACCTAGGGCAGTATCTGGTATATAGTGGGCACTCACATGCTTATTGCATGGATGAGTCTTCCCATGTGATGTCATGGGTAGTCTGCCCCTGTTTCTCAGTCATTGTGTTTCCTTCCCTACAGTCTCACAGCTCCTGTACACAAATCTATTGAAACTAGTCATGGCATAAAGTCATTCTGAATTCAGTAGTCTTGTCTTACCAGTCTTCTCCATTTCTTCTGTGCCGGGCACGTTTGTCTTCTGTTTTTGAAATAATTTTTATACATTGTAAACATAATTTCTCACTATGACTTCAACATCTCCAACTGTGACCTATTAAGAGGATATCCATTCCCACTTGGAATAAGTCCCTTTTGTCTTAAATTTACCATGTTTCAATTTAGGTCTGTCTCCTGTAGTTCAATTTCTGATGGGTGGTACAGCCATTCTTCCTAGCCGACAAGTCTGTGGACCAAGGCTCTTTGGACTTGTCTTGAAGGAGCAGAGGCCAGGGGTGCTGGAATAAGATAGCTTAAAAGCTGCTCCATCACTTGGACTCTTTCTCCAGGACTAGGTTTCCTCACTTATCATTTTAGTACCTGCTTTTTTAGGGTTATTCTGGGGACTAAAGAGAGAATGCATTCAGAGCACTTACAGTCAAATATAAGATGTCTGTCTTTGTAGATACTATGGCAAGACCCTTTTTAAAAATATAAAACAATGTTTCTTAACCTGGAATTGGAAAACATTTTCCTGGGAGTTTGTAAATGATTTTTTTTTTTAAACCAGAATTAAAACTTTAATGTTCTCTTCAAAGATAATTTAAAAAAATCATAGATTCCATATATCTAGATGAAGTCACAAATGAGTAGAGCCATAAGGTCTTTAGTAGTGTCATAATCTATGTTTGATTGAGCACTCCCTTAATTGTTTCTAGCCAAGGGGGAAAAGAACAGACGTGGGCTTATTGTAGAAATCATGTGCTTGTGTCAGGTGATCGCTGGAAGTTCCATGAACAAAGCTTTCATGGCCGATTGT